GGCTAAATCCTAACCTTCAGGTGCTGCTGGGGTTTCAAATTTAGAAGTACTGTGTACCAGTCTCATTACCTCTGCTTCTTCATCTTCTTCCTCGGAGGAGCTGGACAGTTCGTCAGTTATGTCCTCCCCATATCTGTCCTTCACTGAAAAAGAATATTGAAGAAAAAATGTAAATGTTTAATTAAGTGCACCCAAAATCATTTTAATAGATCAAACAATGGTAAAAACCACAAGTTGTCATTTTGTTACAAAATGAAATAAGATATTGTTATGCCTCAAACTACCTCCTGAGTCACACTACGGCATCACTCCCAACCTACAGTCTGCAAATTTCTCAACCTGTAGAAAGATTGAATATTTCACAACCTTTTCCCAATTTGTGCAGCTCATATCCTACAGGACTTGATCAAAACATGCAGCCAATGTGGCACTTTATCCATAGTGCTCTAACACGAATAAAACCTGTACTGTAAAATATGTAAACAAACATGACAAAATCTCAGACTCTGGAAACAAACCTGACAAAATCACAACCAACTAAAGCAGTGGGTCTGACGTCAGATGAACATGGTCATGGTGAATGTGAATGGGCATGATGGGCAAGAAAAATTACAAGTAAGCCTAACATTCAAATAAAAAAAACAACTGACTAAAATGCATGTGCACATCCATCTTAGCCACAAGCTCTGATCAGTGCATTATAACTCCCAGTCCCTTGTACAGTGACACAAGGGGGTGTGACCTCGATCATCCAGAGCTATTTTGGGGGTAAATTTCAGTCCTCTCCCCACCAAAAACTCATAATCTCCGCTGACTGAAGTCCCATCTTTGCCCTCGGTAAAATGCTTTTTTTTTTCTGACAAACATATTTTTGGTCATGTTGAAGCCACCGCACATCCTTTTCAAGCAAATGCATTTCCACTACTCCCACAACTGTTTCCAGTACGTTTAGTGTGTCGTCAAATGAAACGTCCCATCCATGTGACATATGAAATAAAAGATGAGCAGTAGTTGGTAAACGTCATCAGCATACCATTCAACGAATAGAAATTTTTCTTTCATTCGAGAGTGAAAGGAAACTGAATAGAAAGAGATGGGAGCCACGTTGTAATTGGTGAAGCTGCTACACCGCTGACAATGATGACCTTTCAACTGACATGACCGGGTGAGCTAGGCAGGCAGTCGTAGACACGAGTGTGGGTAAGAAAAATTCTCATAAATTTCACCATTTGAAACCAATGGTATAATGTAAATGACCCCCCCCCCATCCCATACAAAATTGTATCCTGCCTGCTTGCCTGCCCGGCACAGGGGAAAAATCGGTGTAACGACATAAAAATTTCATGCAAACCGAAGAAGCACCATGTCAGATATGACTATTTACGTTGCTACAGTATATAGGTTTGTATAATCCCAACCTACGCCTAGTTACAAAGTTACAGTTCTGGAACTTGTGGCAGTAGGCCTAACGTTACATGTAAACAAACATGACAAGTAACACGTGACGAGTAGCCTAATCAGTCATGTCAGCACAGTGGTAGGCCTAGTGCCGAAAGGCACATGTAACGCATGACACGAGTTTCCACATAAAGTGCTACTTCAAAATAAAAACAGACGTAATCTTCAACATACACTTCTGTAGTTCCTCTTTTCTCCTCCATTTATTGTAGCTTTCGGCAAATTTTGTGTTGATACGAAACTCTAAGTCATCGTCGCTTTCCGACATGCTGGAGTTTTATTATAGTCTGGAAAACAAAAACATACGTGAAATGTAGCTCTATGTGTCGCTAGAGACAAATACCCGACTGATTCTCCATTGCGTTGGTAAACCAAGAAAGAATATAATTTTGCTCTATTTAACGATCGAGTACCAGGAAAGATGGCCGCGCCCATGGAGAGAATTTGATTTCACGGATTTGGTTTCAAACATCAGTTCATCTGTAAAAACTCGACTGTAGAAGTGTAGGCCTACTGTGTAGTAGTGTGGCAAACATTTCGTAAGTCATACTGTCATCATGGAGAACATCATATGTACTCTGTGTACTTAATTCTAAAATGGCGACATGGTTCACATGTTCCAAGACTACGCTTATAATGTAGTATATCATGTGTACATGCCCATGGTAGCTCGGACCGATGATAACGTTAGTCATTTTGTCATTTCAAGCGTGGAGGAAGGAACACGGTGTTCAGATTAATGTTTCAACTTTCGTTCATTTCAAGTTAATGCCATCTTTAATTTACTGGAATTCTTTCAAGATAAATTGGAATATGCGTTCAAATAACTTTCCATTTTATCAGGGCATGTAACTGATTGAACAATATTTCACTTTTCTGTATCAGTTCTTAGGCCCAGCCAGCCAGTTACGATGCGTTTATCAAATCTGCATCTCCTGCTGATCTGCGTTGTTAGTGAATTCTTAGGAGTTAACATCTTTCTGAAGGGATTCTTTCCTGTAAAGAAGGCAGTTGAGGGCTACGCAACATTCCACTACTTGCCTAACGAGCCTTATGGAAGTGCAACAACTGATGAAGGATTTGCAAGTGACAATGAACCTGACATTGGTAGTGTACCAGTCCTAAACAAAAGCTTGCTGAAAGACAAATGAACTTAACACTTTACATTGACGAAAGAAACCTTGATGTAACTTCATATTTACTTGTGATGGTAAGTAAGAATGCACCAGATTTTTACCAGGAATAGTTGATACATTTCAAATTTCAATCTTTGACTCAGGCATTGCACCTGTCAGACCAGTATTTGGTCGCCTCGTGGTTGTGCTGATTGATGCACTGAGAGCAGACTTTGTCTTCGGAGAGCGTAATCATGATCACATGCCTTACACAAGGGCGCTACTCAGTAGAGGTGCTACAAGAAGCTTCCTAGCTAGAGCACATCCTCCAACAGTCACCATGCCTAGAATCAAGGTGAAAGGTCATTTAATAAAACAAATCAGAACTATGATTTCATCCCTTTGCTATAGTCGTTTTTAATTCCTGATTAACAAAACCATCAGGGTTATTGGTAAGAATTTGGTTGTTCATAATCCTCCCAGATCCTTTAAATCCACCAGGCCGTAGTGGAAGAATTTGAAAGTACAGTCCCTTAATTGTAATTTTAGATGGTCTCCTTGCCCAAGAAAAATACAAAGAAAGGGAGAAGTGTACTCGAAGCATGTGTAAAGCATGTTTGAAGAAATCACAGTTGGGTTGCTGGTAAGAAAATCCTCAAATAGAGCCTTTTGAAGTATCCAGATTTATTTTTGGTACACGTAGGCTCTGACATCGGGGACAATTCCAGGTTTCATCGACATCGTCTTAAACTTTGACTCGGTAGCCTTGGCTGAGGATAATCTCATCTCACAGATGCATCGTCAAGGGAGACAGCTCTTCTTCTATGGTGATGATACCTGGATGAAACTCTTCCCAGGCCATTTTGCTGATGCTGACGGAACTACATCATTCTTTGTCACTGACTATACCGAGGTGAGAGGAGCTCTAGTCGGCACAAATCACAGCCATTTCAGAGTCAATATCTAGTCGCTGTTATCTAGATATTGGCCAATTCTTTGGATAGCCTTTAAATTCAGCCAACAATAGTCAAATTTTCTCTTTGTTTTTATGTCATAGGTTGACAACAATGTGACAAGACATGTCAGACCAGCCTTGTCCAATCCCCACTGGGATGCTCTGATCCTACATTATCTAGGCCTGGACCACATTGGGCATCTAGGAGGACCAACCAGCCCATTAGTCCACCCAAAACTTCAAGAAATGGATGCAATAATTCAGACCATTCATGAAGCAGTCACTGAGCAGGTATCTACGTGTATGTCTGAATAAGGATATAAAGGAACTCTCCTAGAAGGCTCCAAAGAATAATTGAAGTATTGTTTGAAAACAGAGCAAGGCAACAAAGTTTGAATTGTTCATGCTATGAAGATTGTTAGAATAGTAAAGATATTCTGTGCTTACCTTGCTCCATATGATTTCATTATGATTGTCTAAATCACATGTGTACTTGAAGTTGTGTTTGAAATTCAGCTATTTTCCATTTTGCCAAAACTTCAATGAAAGGTGCACCAGCCTGCGGTATATGTACTACGTACGTTTTCCAAGTACTAGCGAGACATAGTCTGTATTGCCTCTGTACTCAGTATTTGAGTTGCTAATGGTTTAAAGTTACGTTAACAAGCTGAAATATTTTTGTTTTCTCCAGGATAAATCATTGGTGCTCCCTACTCTGATCATGCTTTGCGGTGACCATGGCATGAGTGATGCAGGAAGCCACGGTGGAGCATCCAACAGCGAAACCATCACACCCATTGTGTTTATAAGCTCCGCCTTCAAACAGGTCGAAGGTCAGTCAAGGAAAGTAAGCGCTTATAAACACTGCTATATTAAATGCAGGTTATGATGGACATCATTATAAAATCAATGGATGCTACTCAATGCTTGAGATGCTAAATAAATTTGTTAGAAATCTAAATAAATTTGTTAGAAATCTAAATAAATTTGTTAGAAATCTTAATAAGATTAATTGCATCCCAATAACGTTTTCTATGTCTAGGTGCGGTTAGACCACATCCAGATGAGGTATATCAGATTGATGTTGCCCCAACCCTGTCCCTTCTGATGGGATTGCCCGTTCCCCAGAATAGCTTGGGTGTGGCCATCCCTATGATGCTTGAAGATAACCTCTCTGCTCGTCAACACCTGAGGGCGCTTCAGCTGAACAGCCACCAACTGAGCCAGGTGTTGAAGCAGAATGTGGATTCATTTGAAACAGGTTAAATGAAATTGTACCTCCCTTTGTTTTGGTCTGGTGGAAGTAACTTTCTTTGACACCAGTCAGTCCTTGAAGTGACATTTAAATGTTTGAAACTTTTCCAGATTATTTAGTGCCATTATTTGAGTGTGAATCTCACAGGTGAAGTACATTTTCTGATTTCCTTTTAAACCCCGCTAGGCTTGTACAGTGCCTGTGTTCTTGAGCAAGACACTCGACAGCAATTTTGCAAATGAACAAGTTTGCACTTGTACTAATAAAAGTTGCACCCTCTGTATATTGCTTAGTGACGGCAGAAAGATTATAAGGAAAACACTTTGCAAGTTAGGAGTGGGATGTGAACCCAAGACATCCTGATTATTAATGCAGTGGTCTCGACCATGAATCGTACAATAGGTGGTTGAATAAGATGTAACAAGAGTTGCAGCATGGATATTTGATGGAGGGTGTTAAAGGATGTTGTACAAGTATCGTATTTTCCTCATCAGATGAGGGTTACGTGGCCTATCAGCGTGCTGTGCGTTTCCATTCAACATGGCTGTCCCATACTGCTACTAGCTCCAGCATCGATTCACAGGTCATATCAAGGAAAGCTATGATGCAGTATATCAAGTCAATGAGATTGATGACAGATAAGGTAGCTTCATCACTGGCTAGATATGATCTCCATGCTATGGGAATTGGATTGGTGTTGATGTGGCTGGTAAGTCAATTACCTCATACCTAGTACCCATTAGCCAACAAAGCCTGGAAATCGCTGATTTTAAAGTGCTACCATTGGATGAGTTTTATGTGACAACTTTCAATCTTGATAAACTAAAGAGATCTGATGGGTTGACAAGCTGGTACTGAAGTCTATCATGTACTGTCAATTAACTTTAATTTTTTGTAACTTGCCCTCAATAGGTTCTGTGCCTACTTGGCTATGGCATTTCATCGCTCACTAGCCCTACTGATGTGACCTCTGACCTCAAGCTATCAATCCTACTTTTGAGTGGCTGTTGCTTAGCAACAGGCATTACCCATGTTACTTTGTGTACTGCATCAGGCGGGGCAACCAGTGAGATGCTGTGTGCACCTTCGGATGAGGCTAGGGTGTGGTCAGTCATGTTGGTACTCTTGAGTGGATCCCTAGCAGCTATTTTACTGTCAGCATTGACACAAGTTGGCAGGCTTCAGCAGTTTTTCTTGAGCGTAAGTTACTTTGTCACAGCATCAAATTGTAGTTGACATTCGTTACTCTTACTGCCACGTCGGTTGGTCAGTTGGTCGTGAAGTTTCCTTCTCAAAACCTAGTCAGCACTGTCTGGTTCTTAGTATTTGTCATAAGTGATGTTCGTTTTCTTGTATCCATCTCATCCCCCAGTTCAGCCATATTTCTAGGTTTGAGACATTTGTCCTGGTAGGAACAATATCCCACACCCTGAGCCTTGCTTCAAGTAGCTTTGTGGAGGAGGAACACCAAACCTGGTACTTCCTGACTCTCACTGTAACCCTGGCAACCTTCATCCATGCAACAGCTTCTGTGATTGGTCATTCCAGTGACAAGATGGCCACTAAGGTTGCCATTGCAACTGCTACAGCACTCGTCATTAGTAGGTTGCTAAGGGCGTGGAATCAGACAGGAATAAAGTGGGCGGACCAACCAGATATAGGAGACTGGTTTGTCAGGTGGGATGTAGATTCCAAGTTGTGTTGTAAAATACTTCAGAGGCATACAGCTGTCATTACAACTTTTGGGAGGGTTCCCCTTTCTTCAAAGTTGATGGAAAACAATTGAGTTCAATCACAGATGGACATAGCAATGATATTCACAGTTTCAGTCCTAACAGTGAGACATCTAGGGCTACATGAGTTTATTCTGCAAGTAGGATTAGGCAGAGTTGCATGATAAATACATAATTAATTCAGAACTGTATCTGTTGTATTTTATCATTGCAGACCAGAAAATAAAGTCAGCCTATCCTTTGTGACTGCTCTGTCGTTTGTTATCATCTACATCACTCGCTGTTTCATGAGACCCAACTACAAGTTACTAGCTGCACTGTTCGGTGCTTATCTCTATCGCTATGCAACAGGATCTCTTAATTTACCTATACCTTTCCCGTCATCACAAAAGTAAGCATTAATTCTTAGGGGAGGGTTAAGGGAAAATGTGCTAAATTTCATTTGAGAACCAAGCACTAAGAAATGTTCAAATAGTAAAATTAAGGACCATGCAGTAATTCCATATTGTTTATGAATGGCGGGGGGGTGACTCAACAAAGTGATATCATATGGGCTATTTAACAAACCAATAAACTGTTTGTACTAGCTGACATTTTTAAGTAACAAAGTTAATTACTGTAAGAAAATATGCAAAAGTTGCTTGGCTGGTTCTATTTGTTTTCACAATACTGCATATGTCCATTTTCTTCCCAGAGGAATCCATGAAGCATGGGTTGTCTACTCTCTGGTTTTCATCTCACTTACACATTTTGTCATGAGGTACACCAGATGTCTGTACAGCCTACGAAGCATGTCGAAAGGAGAATGCATAAATGGACCTGAAAGTGATTTGCTAACCACCAAACCAAAGAACCAAGTGCCACCAACCCTCGGTCACATTTTGGAAGAACTTTGTGACATTCACATCATGCTGATGGCATTGTTGTTAAGGCCTCACAACAGCTGCATTATTGCCATGTCAGTCCTGCTGCAGCATTGCATTGTGGGTATGGTGTTACCATGGTTACAGATGAGATTGTGGGCAGTAACTCTGGTGCATATATGGATGGGACAAGCTGCGTTTTTTGCACAGGTATGTGTTACAGTGGTAACCTGCTAAATTTCTAGTGCTTCTTGAAAGTTACATTCTATTTAATAGAAAACCAAGCAAACCAATTAAACAGATTTCAGTTAAACTTTTATAAATTCATGCAAGATTAAATAAAGCCACTTTGATTAAAACTTTGTTGATCCACGTTTTACAAAAGTTGTCTATAGTATTCAAATCATAAAGATGAAAAAGATTGCACTATATTCTGTCAGTCTGGTTTGAAATAGTCAATCATAGAGTACCGTAGAGTAGCATAACGTTAGTTTGAGTTGGAAGTTGGGTGCACACAAATGGACTGCATGCATGTATTGGTTCACATGCTGGTTCTCATGCTAATGTCTTTTACCCACAATTGTGCATGTGACGTATTCACTTCAGTAATGCCCAACATCCCATGCGTAGCATCCCATGTTAATGTGACTGTTTCTCTTGATCAGGGTAATTCCAATAGTATAGCCACCGTGGACATATCTGCTGGGTATATTGGTATGAGTTCCTACATACACGCTATAGCAGGCCTGTTGACAGCCATCTCGACCTACGCTGGTCCTATACTGTGGTTAGTACGCTTACTTATCTACATAACTGAACATCACCACAATAGGTAAGTTAAATAATGTTAAAAGGACTTGTATATAGGGCCATACAAATGTTTTGGTTAACCAGAGTGTTTTGGAGATGGTGCAAAGTGGATATTGATCACAGGTGTAACAGGCATTTGAAATCATATTCCCAATACCTTGTTTAAATGCATTGAAGCAACCAATCACTGAATAAACCATTATTTCAGCAAGTTTAACGTTTTAACTTTTCATGATTGTTCTTTTCTTTAGCTTCCTATCTGCCATAGAGGTCTCTTACACTCTAGCCATTAGCCGAGCTCTACCTCTTGCTATCTACACAGTCCTAGTCACCTTACAGCGTTATCATCTATTCGTTTGGAGCGTTTTCTCACCCAAGCTGTTGTATCAAACAATGAACACTTGCATTGTGAGCGGAGGGATGATGTTTCTACTGGTGCATTGTGGGATTGTGAGATGGTCCATGCATGACAAACACCGATGACAGTTTTTTGAAATAAATGATAAGAGCATTATTAGAGACCCTTTGAGAATTGTCCACCCAGAGAGGACTTTACTTCAGAGGTGAATCTCTGTGACTGTTCTTACTCCTGATAGCCTTTTGTTCATTTAAAGCTAGACATGGGACGGAGAGACCCCCTCTCCTCTTTTGTGTTGGTCATTTTTTGACCAGGGGATGTTCTGGGGGGATGTGTTAGGTGACAAAAGTCTGGAGTGTCGACAAGATTTAGACATATAGGGGGGTGCTCCTCCATCCCATATCTTGCCAGGTACAACCTTCTCAATCAACTATTTCGTGGATGGCAATGTACCTTGTCACTATGACATAGGCGTTTAGGATTTGAACTAATTAATCCATGACATAAATTCACATTATCTATGTTGGGTTTATGCTGTGGTCTTCCTCTGCATAAACCTGTGAATATTATTGTACTGAAGTGGACACTGTTGAGCTACAAATTCACTTTTTGTTACTGTTTTGTACAATTTATTTCTAATATTCCTTTGAAATACAGTAGCGATACACACGTACATGCGCAACTGCTTTCCTTAATCAGCAACGTTTAGTTTGATTTTTTAACATGAAAATGTTTTCTGCCTCTAAATATTGCTTCGTATAAAATCATCATGCAATTAAGAGCGAGTGTGAATTCCTTCAGAGTCATTTTTCTTTGCTTGAATCTAATAGGCCCACACTCATGGAGCTGCTAAGAAAAAAACACTGCTGGGGTAAATTCTTGAGTTAAGCAAGAAGGAGAAGAGATAGATTCTCAAGTCATGTACTTCTTATGGTACTTTGCCTGATTACCATTTGACTTCGCATGCATTTTATTTCCTTAACAAATGTTAATGCACATACCATCTCTGGGCACTTGGCCCAGGTTTTGCAACAGGTGCATTGCAACATTACAGGTGGTAACATCTGTCTTTACCACTGTTCATGTAATACTAAATATGCACATTGTCCTGCAAGTAGCTGTCAAATATCATTTGCAGTGTTTGTGCGCTTCAACAGATCTGCTTCTTAATCAGTTTCTGAAGACTTTTAAAATCAGTTGTAATTACCTTGAAACTTATACACCAAGTTATTGAGAAAAACTGCACCTTCAGACTGGACCATATGCTGTACCACGCTGGCCAAGTGGAAGAATATACAACATGTTTGCCTTATTTACTGCCAGCTTGGCTGAGACGATCATATCCACCCCGAGTTGAAGTGCGCCCTCACAGGCAAAGGAGGGACAGGCTGGTGGGAAGTTTTCCACCTGAGCTCATGCATGTGGCCAGCGCACAATCAAAGGCTACACATTCAAACATCATCAGTTGTGTGTACTCAACGCACCCTGTACCAAACGCTCATAAACCTAAACACAAACGAGTTCCCACTAAAGGACTGTCTTTTCCATGTAGAAACATGCCCCCTTGTTTCCGCTGGGAGCAGATAGAGAAATCATTTAGCCTAGTCTTGTATTTTTTATGTTTAATGTCTAATGTCATACTGTGCTCAAACGTCAAATATGTGAAATTTCCCCCATTACACCTTATCACTGCAATATAACAACTATAACCAAACAATCTCGTTCTGTCAATGTTAAATACAAAGAGCAAACCCAAATATTAAACTGACATCTGTGAGACACAGAAACGCCAACAATGTGTCAAGAATGAGGAGGTTTATTCATCCCAGGGGCTCATGTCCGTGTCGATGGCCACACAGTTGTAGGCAGCATATCTCAGTTTCTCCTCTGCCACCTTGGCACTACAGAAAAACAATGTTATTTGAAGTATTACAGTTCCTATGCATTCAGCTCTACAAATATGTCTTTGGGAACACTGTACAAAACCAGTTAGTGATAGGACTAGTGGAAGTTATACTCTGTCTCTCCTGAAGATTAACAGGACAAACTGTTTGAAATGTAACATTGATAGTTCACAGCTTCACAAAGGATACAAACGAATGCACCTGTCATGCAAATGTTACAGTTTTTATTTTGAAATGTGACAATTAATTGGTTTTCTAAACAGATCTGTCATTGCATTAACTCTCTGGGATATAAACAGGTTAGAAACCAACCAACATACCTTGAGTAATTGGGCAGGAAGAGCGTGTTGGAACAGGTGGACGATTCTGGCAAGGAATCTGTGTTCTCACTGAAATAAAAGCAACCACAAAAAGGATTGTGGATTAAAATGTGACCATTCTGTGGGTGGCTACAGGACAAACTGCAAAACCTGACAAATTAATTGACCCTCATTTATTTTGCTGGTTCAAGTGTATTGTTGAATAATTGTTATTTGTGCTACCAGGAATTGTCAGGAATATCAATGTACTACAGGTAGATCCTAGGTCGATATTTGCCATTCTTTATCACTGGAGGGGGGTGGTGTATGCAGGAGTTCTTAACAGACAGAGCCACCATGATGAAGGGAGACGTTTTCTAAGGAAGATCAGTTTGAAATTGTTCTAAACCCAGAAGTACTCTGTATTTTATCTGCTACTTACCCTCTGCCGGGACAAATGTAGAGTGGTGTAGGAAGGCGACGTCTTCCTGTCACAAACCGCAAGAATCGACTTCTGTCTTCTACACAGGAGATAAAGCCAAACAAAAAATAGGCCAATTTAATTTGATGCTACTTCTAAATAAATCTTATCAATATTCAACTGTCAAGATACAAATTTCAATTTCCATGCAAGGCACAAATGGCTATGTATACATCTAATCCTGAAAATATTCTGTTTTTATCAGTTATCTCAGCAAATGTTCAAACTGTTGGGAATAAATATAATTCAAGTTCCCTGCCTACAGCCGAAGAATAAAATTTGTTGACCATTTTCCACAGTGCACTGCAAAAAATGGCCTTTGCAAGGAACCTTTGGTGACACACTATTGTGAACTGCCCATATTGGCATCTCACAATTCCTTTTGAGGCAGAGTATACAACACACCAACCTTGGCGAGATCTTAGCCCAGGTAACTTGTCATAAAAGCAAGAGTCTATCACATAAAACCTGACAACAACTATCATTGATCATGCCAATCGAATGGATTTGAATCAGCCAGTTGGCCCTGACAAACTGGGTCATTAAGTGGTTAGAACATGAATAACTGAGCAGGTGACTCCTGGCTCAAGTCTCTCCAAACCACTAATTGAGCAGGTGGTTATGGGCTTGAGTGTCTCCAAACAACTAATTGAGCAGGTGGTTATGGGCTTGAGTGTCTCCAAACAACTAAATTAGCAGGTGGTTATGGGCTTGAGTGTCTCCAAACAACTAAATTAGCAGGTGGTTATGGGCTTGAGTGTCTCCAAACCAAGCTTGAGAATTTTTCATCACAAACTCTGAGTACACAGTGCTTATCTAATTGGAGACTGGCAAATCAAACTTACCATTGGTGAAGTTAGTCAGTGCGTCCCATAAATACTTGACCCTGGAGTCAGACTGTCCAAGATCCTCAAAGAACGTCGTCTTTCGTAGAGCTGCTACACTGATCTCAGGGTCACCACAGATCTTTTTCTCCAATTCCTGCCAGGTCAAGAGGTCTAGGACAGCCTGTGGAACTACACGCAGCAAACCTTGACGCATGGCCTCAACCTGTGACATAATCAGAACGGTCAAAACATTATGACCTGGTGACCTACTGAACCATTTAAAATTTCTTTTCTTTCATGGAAATTCAAGAATCCCAGATCCAGAGGTGGCAGCAAGTCATGTTTTGCAAGTCCAAGTCAAGTCACAAGTCATTATGCGCAAGTCCAAGTCAAGTCACAAGGTCCAGTCACAAGTCAAGTCACAAGTCATTTGGTCACAGGACAAGTCAAGTCACAAGTCATTTGGTCTAAACACATGTCAAGTCACAAGTCTCTTTGTCCAAGTACGTCAAGCTGTACATTTTTTTTGTCTAGCTGTAATAAGCAAAAAAGAACCAGGTGTCAACTTACGAAGTTATGAGTTTCAGACAGCTTAGCACCTTTTCTCCAATTATTTTGACAATGCATCCGTAATTCCCCTTTTCCACTTGTGTTGTAATAACTATTCTTGCAGTTTATCACATACATGTATCTGTCGTATATTGGATCACTGTTTAATTTAATAAATGTACTTTGCAGGGTGGAAATAAGCGTTGAGATGAAATGATGACATATTGAGGGCGCTGTTTATCCTAGTCACACGTCAATGCAAAATGTAGCAGCATATGCATGCTGCCCTGATCTACAGCTGCAGCTGGGTGAAGTAGAAGCCACTCAAGCCAAAGTCCTTTTGTATGTGCAATAGGCGTAAACTGAACAGCTTAATTAAAATATATGGAGCTGGTCGAGTAGCGTCTGACTTGGGTTAGTAACAAGTCATTTTTTGCAAGTCCAAGTCATAAGTCATTTTTTGCAAGTCCAAGTCAAGTCACCAGTCACAGCTGGTATTTACAAGTCAGGTCACAATAATTGTGACTGGAGTCTGACTCGAGTCCAAGTCACATGACTCGAGTCAGCAACTCTGCCCAGATCCTGGTGGAGGCTGACGATAGTGGTCCAATGTGACAATGTGAGGTCCGAATATTCCATTGTGCTGGATGTCAACTATTAAGCACCAGCTTTCAGGTCATGAAAAGAACACAGTCATTCAAACAAACATGGGGTCAGTTTGGCACATTCATCCTCTTTGTGTCCTTGAATACAAGATTCTGTATACATGAAGTTAAGCTTACGTAAGAGGACTTTGTTAGAATTAGATAACCCTAGTTTGATTAAAGAGGAATTAAGGAATATGTCAGAACTTGAAATCGGTGAGCATGTCCTGCTTACTGGTGCACACCTCCAATACTTGTCCAAGACAAAATCCTGTCTGACCTGTTCTTTGCATTCGTCCATCCTAGCAGCTTGCACCAATTGGCAGTACTCCAACCTGTCCTTGTAGGTCACCTTGACCTCTGACCCCTTGCTAACCAGCTCTACCTCTGATTGGTCACTCAGTACAGTGGTGAAAGTCAGCTCACTGGCAAAGTTGATTTCGTAGGTCTCCTTGTCCATCCGCTGGAAGGACTCCAAAAGCTTGACCTGTAAGTGTGGAGATGGTTACGAGGCAACTGTTCTCATTTAAAGATTCAAACTGTTTCTTTTTTTGTTTTCTCTTTCTCAAGGTTAAAAGTACAGAGGAGTGTTATTGCTAAATCAAAGCAGCTGTTCATACTATCAAACTCCAAATTCTTGATAAACCTGTTACCTTTTTATAGATAATAATTTTAATTTTAAAACTAAATGTTAAAAATAGCATGACTAAGGCTACTTCAGATCATTTTAGGACATTTTCTAAAAGAAGAAGCCATAGACTAGCATTCAATTTTATATTTCCAAGCATGTTGTGAATCTTATATTTTTGGCAACACAGATTTCAGAATCTCATCTCAAGTTAGAGTATTTTTTTTGTACTCACAGCAGCTTCATCAACTGTTTTGAAATCTTTGTTCCAAGTCACCCTCTCACCAGCAAGAAGCTTCCAAATGAACGATGGCAAAGCTAAAACCTGAAATGAAATCAGAGACATAACTTCTCACTTCTGGTAAAGTGCGGCATCAAAAAAGAAGAATGAGCAGACCATGATTTGAAGCCGTGTCATGAATATGAACGTCAAATCTAAACAGGACTAGACAGACTATCAGTACTCACAAGATGTTCCTTGCTACGTAGACACGCCCCCATCAGCATTCCAATCCACTCATATTTGGCAAACAGCTTACATGAAGGGTTGGGTACATACATGTCACGGTAAACGTTAGAGTTGTCAAGACGCTGAAAAGAACCAAGCAAAACTGGAATGAAATTGTCAGATTTGATAGGAACACTTCAACAAGAATTATGATATGAAAGTACATGTATATCATTAACAGCCTTGAACAATGCACAAGTATAAAGCAGTGTTGTAGTCGAGTACTTTCCGAGTACCAGCATTCTCCGCAAAATACTGAACTGGGTAAGAGGCAATAAAGCCAGAGTGCACAGGCATTTGATGGTAAATGTGCAAAGGTAAGATTACAAAATAAATGTTAGACTTCAGACACTCCCAGTTGTGTAAAATTTAAGTTTTAAGGAGAAAAGTACTCCGAAAGTACTCGACCGAGTACTGTCCGAGTACTTTTGTCCTAAAAAGTTAATTTTAATCAAACAGTGATGGTCTGAAGTCATTATGTTGCTTTGTAATCTTACCCATGTGCATGTAGCATCAAATGCTGATGTACTTCAGCTTTGTGCCCTCCTAACTAGTTACATATTTGGTAGAGAACTTGGTTCTCAAAAAGTACTCGACTAGATCACTGGTCTAAAGATTCCTTAAACTGCACAAGAGACAGTCCAAAAGTATGTGATATAGTATGAATGTCTTTTGAGTGTAGCCTATTCCGTATTAATGAGCATAAATACAGTCAGTGTATTGCACACTATTTAAACTTAACTTGGACGGACGAGCTGAACACCAGCACAATGACAATGATCAGGATTTTTAGTTACCTGGTTGAGAGTTCTAATGAAGAATGGCAATGGAACGGGTTGTTCACCACCGACTGGGCAGAGCTCCTCGGCGATATCTGCCAAACTATCCCGAAATCCACCACCTGAAAGAAAACAAGGAAAAACTAGAAAACAATGGTCACTGACAATCATTGGATTTAGTAATAACGGACGATTTTTGCCTTTCGAAGTTAAGAGACTATTCCTGTTTTCCTTGCTTCTTCTTGCATATTTTTGCTTAGAAATCTTTCCTATGCAACCTTCAGTTATACCTTGAATGGTATTAACCCATCCTGGTTAACCCCTTATCGCTGGGATTCTTTTGACCGCGACTGCTGGACTGTGGTATGACCAGTATGCAAAGCCCTGTCCAGCAGCAGGCCCACATTGAAACCGCAGGTGCATGATGAATAGAATGTATGTGTGGTTTGTATCAATCCTCACACAAAGCCGCGGCTGTCCACGTCTCCTGATGTGAAGGGGTTCAGGCTATAAGGCAGAGTTGAAGGAGGGAAAGACAACGAGAAATGTTAGCATCTTACCTTGATCAATAATTCCTTCTGACAGAAACTTGCACTCCCACCACTGACTGTAGTTGTCAGACCATCTGTAGTCCAGCACTTTCTCACCACGATCCTTAGGTTTCAAGCCTTCGTATATCTAATTACACATGTAGCAAATAAACCATCAGGTACCAAGTCCAAGTTACAAAGGAAAGATCTGTCAATTTCACCCATTAATCCTCTACCAAAGTGTCCAATTCCCTTAACTAGCCTATAAGCTTTAGCACTCACTTGTACATGTACTCCTTATTATATTTCCCTATCGCATGAGCAAAGCAAGATAAAAAATCACTCATAATATTCACACCATATAATTTTGGTGTCTGAATTTTGCGAAGCCAGGACTATGACCTGCTGAGCAAAGATTCAGCCCCGACCAGGTCAATTGCAAAGCTGACTACAAACATATCAACCATTTATAATCTGGTTCATAGATTCAGCCACTCTATGGCATTGAAGTCCTGACAGTCCATGACAACCCCCACCCCCAGAATTCTGAAATTAACTGACCCTCCCAACAAAGATAGATTACTGACAACTAACCTGTGTGAAGATGGCATTCTTGCAGGTTGGATCTTTAGAAGGGTCACTTCTATGATCAGATGCACTCCTACGATTGATACACAGCTTTGGAATTGACTGAGGAGGACTGTTTTGAATAATAAGAATTAAATTTAAACTTCATCACTGGAAATCAGTGTTTTTGTTTGCTGCCATCGTTATGTGACTATTATCAGGAGGTAGGACGACCGAGTTTAACACACACTGAGCTGATGTAGTGGCTGTCTCTATGGGCTACCATTTGGAGCCAATATATCAGTAGGCCAAAGCACAGGGTCGTTACATTTGGACTAAAATCTCCATATTAAGCCAACTAATTTTAATAGTATCAACATCTTCTGAAATTATTGAGTTTGGTGCACTGTAATATGGGGGAAGAGACATTCACGTTGAAACCTGTCTTTTCTTCAATATCTTTGCTGAGGATGAACCTATGCATTGAAATGATATACAATATGGTATACATTGCTATAAGCCAGGCTTTGTTGACTACAATTATAGCAAATTCAAGTGAATGCTACTGTAGACTAACCTACTCTCAGATGACTTCAAGAAATGCATGATGAGAGCGTTCCTCTTCTTGGAAAGAGGCAAGAGTTGACGAACCACCTCCAAAGATGAAAACGAACCCACTGTATGCTCCCAGGCTGGGACAATGAAATGTATTACTCCATCTAAGAGAGTCATGAAACGTTGAAGAGCCAATGCCCGACGATACAGACAGTCCTTGTCAACATTTTCAAGTCGAGGGTACCTACCACACAAAACCAATAACAGCAAAAATGCATGCATTGTGAGTGTCAAATATCTTAGTAGTACAGAATTACAGCTCTTACATGTAAGTCCTCGTTCAGTTCTATTACAACCATGCAGCCATGTATTCTGGCAATCTTGTGATAAAAAATGCTTTTCTTCATCTTAGAAATTGATTCCCTTCTACAGAAACCTCCACTCTGCTCTTTAGACATGTTAGAAAAAGTGATCCGTTTCTTTTCCCTTCAGTTCTTTCTTGCCAAAAGGGAATTCCAGAGTCAAGAGCTAACAACAAAACTCCCCTCCCCTCAAAAAACACTACATTTAACCCCTTTGCTACAGGAAGCGGCTATAGCCGCCGTAAAAACTGAAATCCTCAGCCCGCTTTTCTCGGCCCACGATTCTTGGCTCACGCTCGAGCGAACACGGTGAAAGAAGGCAGACCCTGGCTCTTGTATTATATGGTAATTGGTCTTTGTGCGTAGCCCAGAAATAAAAAGACAGATTTTGCATCATAATCACCAGCTTCATAATAGTACCCACTTTGAAAAGAGGCAACAGGAATGTGGAAGCGTGAGTAGAGCCGCATGCCACCAAACAATCAGCCTTTTCACCGTGTAATTCAAAGCGTGCAGAGCACGCAGGGCCACAAAACGAGAATTTGCGGTTTGGCAGGTGGCCTTCATGGCCAAGCGAGGCTGGAATTCTTGGAGTTGGCTTTCGGAAAGAAATTCCTGTCGTCAAGGGGTTAAGGAAGGGGAGTTGTTACCAGACTTCTCACAAACTACCAGCAAGAACTCAGATCACACACATTTCCTTGTTTCAGGCTACATCAGTCAGTGAGTACTTCATAGCAGCTTATGTCTTCTTAAAAAGCCCACACATCTTAAGATGCCAATACCCACCTGACAAGCTCATTATCTGTGAAGACATCTTTGTTCAATCCTAGGTGACACTCCATGGTGGATTTGATCTTAATGCCATGAATCCTACAATCAATTCCTTCATCTGTTTGATAAAAGTCAAGAATAGAAGTCAAAATTAACTTGGTGGAGTTGGGAATTTACGCTGAGCCATATCTTTGCTGGTTTCTTCAAACTCTATTGTGATGCATCAGTTCAAGAAGTGATGATGGCAATGGTGTGTGAGCAATTGCCAAGGAAGAGTCATTCATGTGAGTTTACTTCCATTCAGAGCAACACAGTCTTTGTGTCCCTGAGCTAGACATTTTGCTGCAATAACATATTTCCAATACGTATGCTGTACAAGCGGCTTGACTCATCCATATTTTCTAGTAGTTAAACACTACAAATCTCACCTTGACAAGACTTAATCCGAATTTCAATGAGAGGATAATGTTGACTCATTTGCTCCAAGATGCAAACGTCCCCGCTATAATCACTACAAAGAAAACAGAGCAAACCTTGCATTTATGATTTTTAATTCCAGTTTCTAACAGCCTTTATCAAACAATCTTAACTTAACCACTACCAGCCGCGGACTCTGAAATCGGAGCCGTA